TTCTTCTTTTTTCACAACAATTGTTATCAGAGATTAGTTTGAATCTAAGGAAGAATGATGGGCGGAGACGAAGTGATGACATCGGGGATCAAGAAGTTCAATGACACAGATTTTGTTACTGGAGGATGCAGATAGATGACTACCTTTATGGTAAAGAACTTCATCTTCCGTTACTGGGAAAACGACCAGAAAAGATGGACGAGGCGGAATGAAATTTGTTGGATCCACTTGTTTTGCGGGTTATACAATTAACCCTGTCGAGATCGATTGCCCACAACGTCATCAAAAAGAGGACTACTGCAGATCTCGTGGCGGCTTTATCAGGTTTGTATGAAAAGCCATCGACGAATAACAATGTGCATCTGATGAAAAAGTTATTCAATTTGAAGATGGCGGAAGGTGTGTCTGTTGCTCAACACCTAAATGATTTCAACACTATCACAAATCAGTTGTAGTCTGTTGAAATTCATTTTGATGATGAGATACGTGCGCTGATATTGTTGGCTTCATTGCCAAATAGCTGGGAAGCCATGAGGATGACAATTAGTAGTTCTGCAGGTAAATCTAAGCTGAAATATGATGATATTTGTGATTTGATTTTGACTGCGGAGGTGCGCAGGAAGAATTCTGGCGAGGCCTCGTGTTCAAGTTCGACGTTGAATGTTGATTCCAGAGGGAGATCACATGACAAAAAACTCAGACAAAGAAAAATCAAAATCAAAGTCTGGTCAGCAGAGAAACTGCTGGAATTGTGGCATGGCTAGCCACATAAAAAGCAACTGCATGAATCATAAGAAGGAGAATGATGACACTAATGTTATAACTAAAAAAATACAAGATGCACTATTTCCGGCAGTTCACAGTTCAGTTGATGACTGGATGCTGGATTCAGAGGCTTCCTTCCATACATCTTCCCGTCAGGAGTTAATGCAAAAATTATGTTGCAGGTAACTTTGAGAAGGTATATCGGGCTGTGGAAAAGCTCTGGACGTGGTGGGGATGAGAGACGTTGATATTGCACTCCCTAACAAGAGCAAATGGTCTTTGCAAAAGGTCAGACACGTTCTTGAGTTGAAGAAAAACCTCATCTCTGTTGGGCATCTCAATGAGGGTGGTCATTCGGTGGTGTTCTCAGATAATACCTGGAAGGTTACCAAAGGAGCATTAGTACTAGCTCGGGGTAATAAAACTAACACACTATATATGACTACAGGTTTACTAAGGCGAGGACACAAGTCAGAGATGCATTACGGGGAAGCAAAAGAATGTCAATTTCTTGAAAAGTTGTAGAGCGCCAAAGGCAGGAAAACCAGACCATGTACAGACAAATAGTGGAGAACCACAGTTTTATGAAGAAATTTTGTAAGATGAGAATTTGAGCAAGTGAGAGCTGACCAAGAATGAGGAAACAGATTCCCTGTCAGGGAATCAGACTTGGGAGCAGGCAGAACTTCCACCAAGGAAGAAGACATTGCACAACAAATCGGTGTACCGGGTGAAAGTTGTGCTTGGTGGCAGTAAGAGGTACAAGGCTGAACTTATTGAAAATGACTTTCAACAGAGACAAGATATTGCTCATGCAGTGGGAGTTATAAGCAGATATAGGAGTAACCCAAGAAAGAGCTTGGTGGTACAAGACTACGTTGACGGTGATATGTCAACTGAGAGTGTTACTCGTGAGAAGCTGAAGTTGTGCTCAACTTCAGCTGGTCTTCTGGCATGAAGACATGGGCTTCAAGTTGCAGAGGTGGATGATATCATGTTTGAGGAAATTTTCGGCACAACTAGTAGATGATGCAACCAATATGTGATTCAGTCAGTCTCTCAGTCTCAAAGTGGGAGAATTGTTGGGTAATGTGGAAACCCAGTCCACCGAAATTTAATTAGCTTCCTAATTAAGAATCTCACCTACCGCTCACCTGCCACATCCCAGCTACAGCTCACCTACCTCTCACCAACCACTCTCATGGTTTCTATAAATAGTCTCTTTTTGGCTTAAAAGAGAAGCCAAACCAAGCAAGATCAAGCCAAGTTCTCTCGAGAGCTAAGAAAAAGAGAGGAAGAGAGAGAGAGAGAGGAAGGGAGAGAAGAAAACAGAGATTTTCTTGTAAACATCGAGGCGCTTGCCAGCGTAATTTCTCGAAGAAATAAAATCCTTTGCAGCTTCATGAAAGTAGGAAAATTTGCCGAATCACGTAAATCTGTGTGTCGCCTGGTGTTTTTTCTGCGTGCAATTTTACTCGTTTCATTTTTCGCTTTATTGTGTCATTTTTCACAACACAAATGTGCAAGAAAAAAATGCAGGTGCAATATAAATCTTTCCTTCAGACCCACTCAACTGTCCTTCAAAATTTCCTGAAGTATAACTTGGTGGGTTCCTAAAAAGATTTAATGAATGATTTTCTGGAACAAAATATGATAAATTCAATTGTCCTTCAAAATATCTAAAAGAGCATAAAAGTGTTTGAGACATAACCGAAAATAACTTTTAAAACCCTTTGAAACGTTTCGAGTTCATTTGAACTTATTACTTTGTTCAATTAATTATCCAAAGTTAAATTTAAACTTCAATGAATTAATACACCCTATGCTCAATGAACCTTAAAATCTTAATTATCCCAAGAGCGGGGTACTCGAACATTCACTTAATGTTTCATTCAAGAGTTATGTAAATGGGTGCTCTTAAGAGCAAACTCAAATCACTAAGAATTTTATACCCACAATTAAGATTGGGCTCGTAGTGTTTTAAAGATGTTCATAATAAGTTAAGTTTCTCTTTTCTAATTCTCATTAAACATGTTTAAGATCAGACCTAGCTCACTACTAAGCTTTTAAATCTAATCTTCAAGATAAATTTGTAATAATCAAAATGTAAATTTAAGTGGGATCAATTCTCATTAAAAATCATGCTTATCATCTAATTACCAACTAGGAGGGCTTCAAATAAGTGAATCATTAACTTCCTAGCTTAAGCCCACTACCTTAGTATCATCCAATTGAATTATCCTCCAAGCCACAACAATTTATAAAATTGCCATTTTACCCAATTTTTACATACATACCACTCAATTCCTATGTATTTACATATCTAACCTCTAAACTTCAATTTTTACATATCGGCCACCTTACCCATGCATAAAAATGCATATTTCACCTATTAAAAGTTAAAATAGTGATATTTTACATGCGATATGAAATACTTATGTGGTATAAATATAAAAAGTGAAAATTACGCATTAGATATGTAAATACATAAGAATTGGGTGATACATATCTAAATGCCCCCTTCTTTTAAAACCAAAGCAGACGAAAGGAATTCCTAAACAAATCCCAATAATGCTTCAGCATGCTGTCTATTGAAATCAATATTAAAACATCTAAAAAATCATTTAAAAAAAAGAAAAGAAAAAAACTTAAGGAAAAAATGTTATATTTATTCAATCTAATATGTTCGCATACCATTTCAATTAGCAGCAGTTTCTTCAGCTTCTGAAGTCCATTCAGAACTCTCCATATTATTAAACTGGCACTTGGGGCATGTGTACTTTTTCTGTAGCTCCTCTCCCACAGAACTGCATGTTTTCTCCAGTTCACTAATCTGATTGTTTCAGGTTAGGGAATTTTTTTATTTATTTTTAAATAATAAAAATGGAATGAAAGGAAATTTACATACATACCACACAATTCTAATGTATTTACATTTTTAACATCTAAAATTGATATTTACACTTATAGCACTGGTGCCATAAATTTATATATAATGCATATTTTTAATTTTGATGTGATGTTACTGTTTCAAGTGTTATAAATATAAGGGGCATCTATATAAGTACCATCCAGCTCTAATATATTTATATGCCTTACACCTAAACTTTATTTTTCAACTTATTCCACCCAAATCTTTCACATCACCTAAAAGTACCACAATTTCAAATTTTAAAAAGTCAAATGCACATTTTCATTCATGGAGAAGATAACTTGTATGCAAAAATTGAAATTTTGGTGTTAGGTATGTAAATTTCTAGAAATTGAATGGTATGTGTGAATCTTCCTAAATGTAAATATGAAAGTTCAGGTGATAGAAAGGTAAATACATAAGAATTGTGTGGTATGTATGTAAATGCCCCAGTAATAAAATAATATGCAGTATGACACTATAGGGCTAAAACAAATGAGTAATTGAGGAACAAAGCATATTAATGGAGACAAGGATATGCTGACAGATCTTTCAACCGTTCAGATTGTAGCAAGATGGCTTCACTAAGAGAAATTCTTTTTTGCAAAGTAGCCACCTCCAATTGAACCTGCGTTTTACAATATCAAATTTTCACCAGCACCTCTTTATTTGTCAGAGATGAACAAGGCCATTGAGGCATGTTTTTTATGAGAAAAAAAAATAATAAAATGACTCGAGATATTTAGATCCAAGTTTTGGTTAAGGGGACATTTTTTTGGATGAAAAAATTATGCAATAAAATTAAATGGGCTACGTTAAAAATATTTAAGAGTTGTTTGGTCGGTGTAAAATAAATATAATAAATCATTTTTTTTTATTTGATTTAAATTAAGATAAAATCAATGTAGAACCAAGCAATGAGTGGTGAGCTATTACTTATGGACATTTGATTATAAAGAGGCGTGCAGTGTTCAACACGTGTTAAACACGTCAGTCATGTTCATAATTCAATAAAAAAATAAAAAGGACACTCATGTCTTAAAAATGGCAATAAAATTTAAAAATAGTAAATAAATATAAAATGAAATATTAGATTTTAATAATTAATATTTTAACATATAACTGGTGATTATTTTTTTGTATGCAATATTCTAAAAAGTTATTGATGATAAGATTTTTTTCTATTATTTAATAAATTTTGAAAAAATAATATTCTCATAAATTTAAGTTTTTTTCTCTACTATCTAATATAAAAAGAGAAAATTAGGCATTAGATATGTAAATACATAAGAATTGGGTGATACATATCTAAATGCCCCCTTCTTTTAAAACCAAAGCAGACGAAAGGAATTCCTAAACAAATCCCAATAATGCTTCAGCATGCTGTCTATTGAAATCAATATTAAAACATCTAAAAAATCATTTAAAAAAAAGAAAAGAAAAAAACTTAAGGAAAAAATGTTATATTTATTCAATCTAATATGTTCGCATACCATTTCAATTAGCAGCAGTTTCTTCAGCTTCTGAAGTCCATTCAGAACTCTCCATATTATTAAACTGGCACTTGGGGCATGTGTACTTTTTCTGTAGCTCCTCTCCCACAGAACTGCATGTTTTCTCCAGTTCACTAATCTGATTGTTTCAGGTTAGGGAATTTTTTTATTTATTTTTAAATAATAAAAATGGAATGAAAGGAAATTTACATACATACCACACAATTCTAATGTATTTACATTTTTAACATCTAAAATTGATATTTACACTTATAGCACTGGTGCCATAAATTTATATATAATTTATATTTTTAATTTTGATGTGATGTTACTGTTTCAAGTGTCATAAATATAAGGGGCATCTATATAAGTACCGTCCAGCTCTAATATATTTATATGCCTCACACCTAAGCTTTATTTTTCATACTTATTCCACCCAAATCTTTCACATCACCTAAAAGTACCACAATTTCAAATTTTAAAAAGTCAAATGCACATTTTCATTCATGGAGAAGATAACTTGTATGCAAAAATTGAAATTTTGGTGTTAGGTATGTAAATTTCTAGAAATTGAATGGTATGTGTGAATCTTCCTAAATGTAAATATGAAAGTTCAGGTGATAGAAAGGTAAATACATAAGAATTGTGTGGTATGTATGTAAATGCCCCAGTAATAAAATAATATGCAGTATGACACTATAGGGCTAAAACAAATGAGTAATTGAGGAACAAAGCATATTAATGGAGACAAGGATATGCTGACAGATCTTTCAACCGTTCAGATTGTAGCAAGATGGCTTCACTAAGAGAAATTCTTTTTTGCAAAGTAGCCACCTCCAATTGAACCTGCGTTTTACAATATCAAATTTTCACCAGCACCTCTTTATTTGTCAGAGATGAACAAGGCCATTGAGGCATGTTTTTTATGAGAAAAAAAAATAATAAAATGACTCGAGATATTTAGATCCAAGTTTTGGTTAAGGGGACATTTTTTTGGATGAAAAAATTATGCAATAAAATTAAATGGGCTACGTTAAAAATATTTAAGAGTTGTTTGGTCGGTCTAAAATAAATGTAATAAATCATTTTTCTATATTTGACTTAAATTAAGATAAAATCAATGTAAAACCAAGCAATGAGTGGTGAGGTATTACGTATGAAGACTTGATTATAAAGAGGCATGCAGGGTTCAACACGTGTCAAACACGTCAGTCATGTTCATAATTCAATAAAAAATTAAAAAGGACGCTCATGTCTTAAAAATGACAATAAAATTTAAAAATAGTAAATAAATATAAAATGAAATGTTAGATTTTAATAATTAATATTTTAACATATAATTGATGATTATTTTTTTGTATGCAATATTCTAAGAAGTTATTGATGATAAGATATTTTTCTAGCATTTAATAAATTTTGAAAAATTAATTTTCTCATAAATTTAAGTTTTTTTCTCTACTATCTAATTTAATTTTTTCTCTTAAAAATCATTAATTTTTCATCCCTATAGTGGTATTATCTTCTTTATTTAATGAGTGCTTATTTAAGTTATTCATAAGTATATACTATTTTAAATTTTATTATTATTATTATATGCTATAGTGTTGCATCAAAGATGTGTCTAGATCCTATATATTGAAAAATAGGTGTGTCCGGTGTCAAAGTTGTATCTTATCCATGGTCCCCATATCCGCGCACGCTCGAGTGTGTATACATACATACACTATAACACCGCATCTCAAAGGTGTCTCTATCCAATATAATAAAAAAAAGGCGTCCCTTGTCATGTTGTAGCATATCCATGATCCCCGTATGCCTATCGACAATGTTTAAAATTCGAGTGTGTATACATACATACACTATAACACCGTATCTCAAATGTGTCTCTATCCAATATAATAAAAAATAGGCGTCCCTTGTCATGTTGTAGCATATTCATGATCCCCGTATGCCTATCGACAATGTTTAAAATTGCACAATTAGGTATTGAGACGTTCTTCATTTATAAAATGAGGCGTAAGCCTTAAGTTGTTTAAAAAAATTACATAAATTAATAATTATTGTATAAACTATAAAGTATGAATTAAGCAATAATATATTAATATTCTAATTTATTATCACATCAAAAAACAATATAACAACATTCAAACTATGCAATAAAGTAAGAAATTGCATAAAATTACAGCTAACACACTAATTTTCTAACATGAAATCATCAAAATAAGCTAAAATGTTAAAATAAAATATTAAAGCATAAAAAACACAACAGCTAAAATAAATTCAACATTGATCTTAGTCCCTCACTCATATTGCCCTCTACTTAAAACAAGAATATAACAAGTCATTAAAAATTGAATTCCTAAGTTTAATCTCTATTACTTTGATCACCCAATTGATTTTTATTAAAATTATCATTATATTAAATTGTTTACTTGTTCCTTATCTTTAATTATATCAATATTCTCTCATTCTTTATTAACCTTAATACCAAAATCTTCTATTTTTTAATGAATAATTATCAATTAAAATAATACTAATAAATAAAATTTCAATTTCATAAATTTTTATTAATATATTTTTCTTTCATTTCTTATTATTCAGTGTGTGAGGTGCGAAACTTGTTAGACGAGATACATTGAAATTATTTTTAGTTTTTTTTAAAAAAATTAAGAATAACTTGAAAATTTAAGCCATTTTTTGAGGCGCCTCAGCGTGGGTAAGGTATACTCCTCAATTTGGGACAGTGAGGTGTAAACCTCATTGTGTTTTTTTTGTGAAAGACGTTAATGTGAGTCTCAAGGCGAGCCTCGTATTGTACAATTTTAAACAAAGCATATTGGTGCATGTTTGGTGTTGGGTAGTGACGACTTCAAACAACTAGCAGAATAGTAATAACCTACAATAGTGGTAGCGGCCAACAACTCTTCACATCTTGTGCGATATATTTGAAAACCGTCTAGTTACCAAATACTTTAATTTGACTAGAAAACGAGTATTAAATTCACAAAAAAAACTTTACATTACATTCCATTTTCAGCTGATTAAATGAATAAATTCCATAACTTTCCTACATTATATTTACGTTACACTAGTAATATGGTTAACTGAATAAGTTTGCTTTAAAAAGTGTGCAATATAAATATTAATTGACTTCTTGTATTGATGCAAGAGCTTATCACGATACTGTAGCTCCTACAATATGAAGAGAATAGCTATCACCAATAATCATGCTTTCATTTCTTATGATTTATTTCCTATTACCCTTCATTTCTTTTAGACATTGTCTATATATGTGTTGTATTAGGATTTTAAAGACAATTTTTAGCATGAGTTTCTTTAAGATAGCAATTGATGTCCGTTTCTCCCTTTGAGGGCTATATCAAAGGAATTGAGTAGAGCCCCGACTGTATCTCTCTCCCGAGGTGGTGATTATCTGCCCCTATCCCTTCTGCATCCCTCCCGCTTTGTTGCCTTACATTCCCCCTTGCTGCAAATTGCCTCGATATCAGTTATTTTGCTATTTTTTTTTTACAATTTCATCACCGTCCAATCCTTTTTCTCGCTGCCCTTGCACAAGACCGCCTTCATTTGGTTGTCCGACAGCCGACCATATCCCCTATTGTCGTTCTTTCATCCTTGCTGCTATTGCCTCCAGCTTGTTGCCAGCCTTGCTTCCATCCTCTCAGCAGCCCACACAACCCTCTCCATCAACTGCCACCCCCTTCTGAGCGTTCCTCGCAACCTCCCTCATTGTCTGGCCAATTGCCGACCAGCTTCTGACCGCTTCTTTGTTGCAGCTGCCGCCATTTCCACCCTTCACCCTTGCTGCCATCAACCCATACAACCCTCATGCATCGTTCTCCAGTTGTCTACTTACCGTCTGACAGCTGGGAGATTGTCGCCTTGCTGTTTTCTGCTTGCCAGCCATCCCCCCCTCCCCGTGTCACCTTCCTAACCCTTATCGACCACCACTACAACCTGGAATCCACCCTTGTTGAGTGTTTGTGTTGCGTCAGTTGTTATTTTACCGATTTCAACGTCTCTAATCGTAACCTTTATTTTCTTTTGAGTAATAACATTTTCTTTCACTATTGTGATTTAGATTAACTCCGGTATCATTTGATATCAGAGATAATCTAACTCTAGTTCTATCCTAGAGTTTCTAGCATCTGTCATACCCCAAGCTATCGCCACCAAAAAAATTACTTTCCACCTTAAATTACCCTTACACACCTCCTTCCATCTACCCACACCCAAAACCTAGTCATGCCATCAAGGAAATAATTGCTAGAAGATCGATCATGGGGAAATGACTCGATACCATATATAAGACATTCACAGAGAGATGTCCAAGGGTTTTCTAAGAAGGATATGCAGTGGAAAACAAGCCAACTAAAACAAAGGCTTGCCACCTTCAAAGAAATGTGAATCTTTTCCATCATACAGATGTCAGGGATGAAGAACTATTGTCTCATAGACTTGTCCTGAAGTATCTGAGAAACCAAAATTTTAAATTATAGATGAATTTTTCATATTTCAATGACCATATGGATCTTGATAAGAAACATGATGGTGCTTTTGAGTGTTTTGGACATCCCAACAAACATCTATTTGACCTATAGAGTGGTTTTGAACCTTGGAATGTGCTTTTGAGTGCCAATACATCCCACCAGACTGAATGGTGAAACTAGTTGCTAATAAGTTAAAAAAGAGTGCTTCTCAGTCGTGGGCGAAATTGAAGGCTCTTCGACAGTAAAAAAGGAAGAGTAAAATTAATACTTAGTCCAAGATGAAACAAGAGATAAAACACAAGTTCCTACCAGCTCAGTACAGAGCAGATGTTCAGACCCTTAGCTTTGGAAGTGAAGAAACCACACCGTTGAGCGACCACCACCACTTACAAACAACGTTCAATTTCATGATCTTACAACCATAGTAAACCCAGGGGAATATCCAAGTTGACCCCGCCCGAGGAGTCACTTGTTCTGAGTGGAGAACAGAAGGTGCCAATACGCATTCCCAAATCCATCTTAGGAAGAAAGTGTTTCAAGTGCCACAGATTTGGGCATATTGAAGTAGATTGCATCACTCGGGGATGCTATATTTCACTTAGCATGGAGCTATTAAAGAAATGAGTAATGACACAATAGACACTGAAGAATTTGAAGACACAAAAGAGAAGTATTGACTTCCATCTGATGAAGAAAAGATGCACATAGTTCTAGCTGAGCCCATGAGATAGACTCCAACAAGATTAATAGTGATTGTCCAAGACAACCTCGAGTTCGAGGAACCAACAACAGAGGCATGAAAAACCCATATAAGAGAAATTCAGAGTTTTCAGATCTTTAGACTCCTTCCCGAGCTGCATCTATTGAGGGGGGTCCATCATGTAAGGAATGAGGCCCTTTTGTGTCACATTTGAAAGATTATAGAGTTATTCAAATATTAAATTCAGTTCAGTTGTGTACCCACCATCATATGTCAAGATAGGAGTGATGGATCACAACCAAGTGGATTGACTTAACGAAATATTACAAAGTTTCTACCACTTTCAAAATGGCCGACCTGATGCCATACAATGAGGAGATAAAAGCTTCAATGGATAAGGTCAAAACTCCACCAACCCCGAGAGATTAACGCGGGAGCTTACCACAATATTGTAGCTGTTATAGTACCGAGGGAATAGTTATCATGAGAAACGATACAAAATAATCATGTTCTCCATTCTTATGCTTTATTTCATATTATCCTTCATTTTTTTATTCATTTTCTATATATGTGCTGTATTAGAGTTTGGAAGTTAGTTTTTTGCGTGAGTTTGTTTAGGACAGTCGTCAGCATCATTTCTCCTCTTGAGGGTTGTATGCCAGGGATTGAGTGGTACTCTGGTTGTATATCTCTTTTGATGTGGTGATTATCTTCCCCTATCCTCTCCGTATCTCTCTTGCTTTGTTGCCTCACATGCCCCCTTGTTGCAACAACTCCTTTGTTGTTTTTCTATAGTTTCCTCGTTGTCTAATTCTTTTTCTCTCTGCCTTTGCCCAGGACTGCATTGTTTTAGTTATCCGACATCCCACCACATCCCCCATCACCTTTCCAGCCCTTCCTTTGTTGTTTTTCTATAGTTTCCTCGCTGTCTAGTTCTTTTTCTCTCTGCCTTTGCCCAAGACTGCATTGTTTTAGTTATCTGACATCCCACCACATCCCCCATCACCTTTCCAGCCCTCCATCCTCGCTGGTATCACATCTAGCCCTCGCAAGCCATCTTTGGGCCACGTCTCGTTTCAATTGCTTCCGTTTCCACCCTTCCCCCTTGCTGTCATCAACCTGAATAGCCCCCACGCATCGTCCTCTGATTGTCTACTTACCGTCCACTTCAGGGAAACTGCTATCTTGTTATTTTCTGCTTGCTAAACATCTTTTCCACCCAACAACCCATAGAACACCCTCCCCAACCTTCTTCGTAGCCTCCCCCACCAGCTGGTCAGCCGCCAACCAACTCTTGGCCACGTCTCGTTGCAATTGCTGCCATTTCCACCCTTCCCCCTTCTTATCATCAACCCGAATAGCCCCCACGCATCGTCCTCCGATTGTCTACTTACTGTTCGCTTCGGGGAAACCGCTATCTTATTATTTTCTGTTTGCTAAACATCTTTCCCACCCCCCACCCCCCACCAGCTTCCTAACCCTCACAGATTACCACTATCAACCGAAATCCACCCTCGTTAAGTGTTTATGCGTGCTAGTTGTTATCTTCTATTTCAGTATTTTTGATCGTAAGCTCTATTTGTTTTTGAGTAATAATATTTTCTTTCCCGATTGTGATTCGGGTTAATTCTCGTATCATGTATATTACACTTATAAGTAATAACATATTTCAGAACAAACCAAACTAAAATTTAACCACGATATTCTCATCCCAAAAATTTCCTCTTTTTTTTTTCTCAAAAGATTATGAGTACATAATTGCAAAACACATGAATTGTGAATTGGTCAAACCTCTTTATTACTATTTATGTGATTTAAACTCCGCATGGCCCAACAATCCGATCAGTCTCTTGCAGAATCAATAACATATAACAAGTAATAAGTAAAATGAGAAATCAGGGAACCCATGACTGCTAATGACATTATTGGGTGACATGACTATACAAATTTATCCGAAATGAACGAGAAAGTTGGGAAGCATGATGTTGCAACATAGGCCCTTAAAGAAAATTACTGTTCAGAGATACAGCAAGAAGGGGCTGATTAATATCAATTTTATTTTCATTGTATTTTTATTTAATTTTGTTTATGTTTTAATTATGAACAAAATATTTTGGTATATTTTTTACTTTTAAATATTTTCAAAACATCTTAAAATTATTTTGAGTGATTAAAAATAAATTTATTTGTTTTTAAAAATAAAAAATAAAAGAGTGGTATACATGCATACCATATAATTTCTATGCATTCACATATTTGACACCTAAATTTCCATATTTCCTTATAAAACTTTAGTGTCATTTTTTACATCAAAATATAACATAAAAATTTATCATTTCATATTAAAAATATTATTCTTAATGGTTGATGTGATGTTAAAAATTTAAATGTTAGATATAAAAAAACTAATGAACTTTTCGGTGCGCATATAAATCACACAAAATAAAAACATATAACAAAACATTAAAATATTTAACAAAAATGATCTCAGATAGGGTCCAAGCAGTAAAAATCCTTTTTTTTTTCATCTAGAAGATCAGATGATAGAACTAGAAAATGGATATATGATATCAAAAGTGAGCTAATAACATGAGAAAAAAACAAAATCAAAATGGAACTACTAGACTCACCTTATTAGCATCATAGATCATCTTTTGGTATTCTTCGTTGAGACTAAGCATTTCAGCATCAACGGACATAATCTCGTTCTCAAGCTCTTTTAGAGTATTTTCATTTTGCACATCCACCCCTTGATCTGTATTAGTGATATTAATCTCCACAAGTTATCATGTCAGACGGTCATGAGAATTTTATATTAGCAAATATATATGTAAGTTGAATACAAATTTGCCCGGCAGATCGCACCTAAGGAATTAAATGTTAGACTGAGAGAAGGAGCTTAAAGCAGGGACAAAAATGTAACATCACTATATTATAATCTCCCCTATAAATAGGGAGTTTATTTTATGAATAAGACACGTTATATTACCGTTCGTTATTGTACACTCCTCTCTCTATCCTCTATTGCTCCCTCTCTTTTTTACATTATTTCTTAGCGTGTGATGCACAAACAAATCAAGATTCAATAATAGGAATTAAGTGGTATGCATGCTTCCAACAAAGAAGAAAAATTAAAATTAAAGAAACCAATAATCCATAATGCGGCTTAGAAGCAAAAAATCTGTCAATCCTTGGGAGATTCTATCAATTGTATGTTCATTATTGAGAGAACTAAGGCTGGAAATTAAAAAAATTTATTCCAAATATGAGGACCTATAATAATGGAGCTCTACAGATGGTCCAAACGATGCGGCCGCCATATTCAAATGAAGCTCATGCGTTCAAGCAGATGTCATAAAAGAGAGATTAACAAATACCGCACAATTCCTACGTATTAACATATTTTGATTTATAATGCTTTTGTATCGTAACTGTTAGATATGACTCATATATCATAAAAGGACAGAATCTGGAGCGGAACAGAGCAGAGCGGAAGATTCTGTCCAAATCAAGGGAGTTTCCTCTGTTAGATATGACTCATATATCATAAAAGAACAGAATCTCTGCTCCAGATTCTGTCCAAATCAAATGAGTTTTCTTATGTGGATTGAGGGTGAGCTACTCGGGTAATTTGGTAATTACATATTATACTCCAGGGTATTGAGAGTGAGGTACTCGGGTAATTTGTTAATTACATATTATACTCCAGAGTTTTCTATGATTATAAATAGACTTGTATGTAACCCTAGGTGTTATCCCATATTCTGTATTTTATACTCTTTTCTTAATATTGAAAGAAAACCACTGCTCTGCACCACGCTCTGCTCCCGAGGATGTAGGCATCTTTGCCAAACCTCATTAAATCTCTTTGTGTTCTTCTAGATTTGTGTGGATCTTGTTTTTCTTTGCCCTAATTTCTTAAAAAATGGTATCAGAGCCTGGTTCGAGGGCAGGGAAAAATAATTTCGGTGGCGCAGGAACAAAGAAGATTTTGGCCGAGGAATTCGGCGGCTAGGGCGTTCGATTCGACGCAGAGGAGTTCGACCAAGAAGGGTTCGCGACAGATCGAACCGGACAACGACGTCGGCATATTCTGGACGGATCGGCTTCTCGTTGCAAGAAGAAGCTTTTGACGAGGGGCAGGGAAGTTGCGATCGCGATCAGTTCAGTGTAGAAGGCTGCTGGGCGAACAGACTAGGAAAAAGGAGAATTCGGCCCGTCAGCGGAGCAGGAAAGAAAGGTTCGCGGGAGGCGCATAAAGGATTGTAGGCGATTTTGCGGAGCTTCAATGCGCGAAGGGAGGTTCGACGAGATTGGAAGCCCGATTCGTTGGTTGTACTTTCCCTTCCTGGCTTGTACGGAAGATCAGTTTCCTTTGCTAGAGGCGGGAATCACACGATTTTGCTTTGTTTGGCTGGAGGCTCCTTTGATTTCCTTAGGAGGCGGTTGCGGAAAACGAAATTTAGCGTGGAGATATTCCAGATATATTTTAGGACTCAGGAAAGGCAAGGAAAATGAAAAATTTGTTGATGCACTCGAAAAAGGAAAGTTGGAGGCCGCCCGATTGGAATGAAATCAGTATTTGCCCTTTTGTGATATTCCAGGACGCGGAATTGCAGGCGCGGGTTCTGGAATTGCAGAAGTTTTTTTGAAAGGGAAAAGAAGCTTTTCTGGAAAGCAGATGCACAACTTTTTTGAAAGGAAAGCATGAGCGGTGCTTTTCTGGAAGGAAAGCGGAGGCGGGGCTTTTCTGAGAAGAAAAACATAACTTTCTGGAAGAACAAAAAAAGAAGCTTTTCTGGAAAGCGAAAACAAAGCTTTTCTGAGAAGGAAAACATAGTTTTTCTTGGAAGTTAAGGAAAATGAATTCTTAAAAAGTTTAATCAAGGAAAATTTAATGAAGGGAAAGTCCTTTTTCTTAGAAATTTAATTAAGTGAAACTTAATTAAGGAATCTTAATTAAAAGAATATTTCAATCTTTTTTTCGGAAAGATTCTGTTGTTCTTCTGGGAAATATAATAAAATCTTAATTAAAGGATTATTTAAAAGATTTGTGGCATCTTTTCCCAACCCACTTTAGTGTAAGAAACTCCATGATATATTTTCTCCTAAGGAGCTGAATATTCGTCAAGGTGGAGATTTGTCAGACATATGCATTTCTCCTAAGGGCCTGTATATTCGCCAAGGTGGAGATTTGACAAAGATTGAGGAATTAGACATATGTATTTAAAAGATTTGTGACATCTTTTCCCAACCCACTTCGGTGTAAGAAACTCCATGATGTATTTTCTTCTAAGGGGCAGAATATTCGCCAAGGTGGAAATTTATCAGGCATATGTATTTCTTCTAAGGGGCTGGATATTCGCCAAAGTGTCGATTCCAAGTTTTTCTTCGCCCTAATTCATGAAAAGATATATTTCACTTTTTAAAAGATAGTAATAGTGGAATTTATGTATGATAAAAGATTAAGTGTTAAGTTCGTAAATATGAAAGTTTAGTTGTCTTATATGTAAATAGATAAGAATTGTGTGGTATATATGTAACGTAATGGCTTGCCTGTTTCTGCAGTTATATCAGGATGTCCCTTCTTTAAAGACTGGATTGCCATTTCATTGAACTTCCTGCAATAATCAATTTCGTTATTAAGAAAATAGGAAGTTATGAATAGCGGTAAATAAGTTCTTTAGAAAAACTCGTACTAAGAGTGTAGAATCATGAAGCTATTAAAGAACATGTGCATGAAGGTTTACTGATGTAATTAACAATATTTTATATGAAACACTGTCCTCCAGTTCAAAACTTCGACACAATTAACTTGTAGCAACCAATTCTTTGGTTTTTAAATAATAAAAATTAGAGAAAATTTTGGAATTTATATCTTTAGCTTCTTCTGGACTGAATTATCTTTTCTAATTTCTAAATGTTATATTTTGATGATGAGCCTTAAACGTCTCAGTTTGGTTACCTATAAATCTATACAAGGCCTCAAGGACTGATAGGCTAATTTTAGAATATTAAGATTAAAGATTAAGATAACATTCTTCAGTATGTGGATAATGATGAGATGATAGAAGAGACAACGGGAGACGGCTAATAGCAACAAGCGAGTTGATGGTTTCACGCCATATAGTCAAGTTGCATCATCTTATTTATATTGGCCACTATATAATTGATGCGTGCTAGAAAATTTGCGGTGGTAAAGTAACAAATTATCGTCTTAGCATTGTACGAAAGCTCAGCACACACACAGATGAAATAGAAAAATACGGTGATGACTCCAAAAGTTTTTACGTGGAAAACCCATAAGGGAAAAACCACGGGGTTTGACCCAGTTGCGGAAATTCACTATTGATTGATGATTACAGAAATCCTGTCCCACAGACGGAAAATAGTAACTATATTTTTTAGGGTATAACGTCGATTGATGGCGTCTGGTTGGTGGTGATCGATGATGGTAGGCGGTGGTCGACGACGGTCGACGGTGGTCATCTGAGGTCAGTGGCGGTCGGCGGCGATCGATGGCAGTTGACGGTGGTCGATGACGGAGGTCGGCAGTAGTCGATGACGGAGGTCGGTGGTGGTCGACGACGATTGGTGGTGATGATGAGCTGCAGTTTCTTCTCAAGACATCAGGTTCAAGTTCTCTCTAGACTTCCTTCCTCCTTTCATGAGAGGGAAGAAGCTCTATTTATAGTGTTCTGGGTACAATTAATGCAGGAATAAAAACTATTTTGATCGGACAGTCCGAAGAGCTTCCCTCGATCATACGATGTTGTTGACCTCACTTTTGGGTGAGAGTTTTGGGTCTTTCCTTTAGTGAGTAGGATCTAGCCTTAGAGCTTTCCTAATGACTATCTTAGCATCTTAGAAATGGTACCCACCTTCTTCTTAGAGATTTCAACCAAATCTTTGTTCTCTATGTTGGTTCTATATGTGATCAATAATTTTTAATACAAATATTAGAGATTACATAAGAGAACCCTGATGAGAATTCCTATAGGACCTTAGGACCACAGGAAAGCCTTGCACTGCTCTACACATTTTTTTGGACTTCAATACATTGCATCATCATTCATAATCGTCATGATCATCATAAACATTGCATTTTCATATTACAATGTTGCAGTCATTACACTCATGAGGCTGACCAAAATTATTTGAACCTAGTTTCCCCTAAAGTACCCCACTTGAATATTTCAATTCTTCAAAATTTTCCAAAAAAAAAACTGTCATTGAATCACAAAATCCACTTCAAACCATTTGATGTTATTATTTAGACCATTGAAACCCAAAACTTCACAGAGTCACCCAAACTCCCCGAAAATCGTCCCAGAGCGTTCCTCTCGTCAAACTAAGAAAATTGACTGTAAACATGCCATACTTCCGAGCTATCTTTGGACCCCTCGCAACCTAAATAATCAACACTTGAAAATTACTCTGGGTCCCGCAAAATCCTCCACACTGGTCAAAATTGCTCCCGGACACTTCCGTTTAACTCTAAATTTCATTTTATATTGCTTCGAGCCTTTGATTTGACTTTTTGACCAAAGTCCCAAAATTTTCTCGAAATGACCAAAATGCCCCTCCCGGGGCAAAATTTCCCGAAGTTCCAAAAATTTCTGAAAATTCCAAAAAATTCACAGAATCTTCTGACACCCCACAATTTTATGAAATTGAACTTCCTTTTTTATTTCGTTCGATGATGAGTCAGAATTTTGTGACGAGTCGCCCGAATGACCTCGAATTTCAAAACGGACTGAGCCGTTGCGTTCGGAACGTCGAAAATAGTAGGAATCGATATTAAATTTGCTATAGTTTGATGCGCAACGAAAATGGCTCGAAATCGACACAAGTTTGAATAAGGAAATTACATTTTTTGCCACCCAAATCTTAATCTAACTCCCCCAAATTAAAAAAACTCACGCACGCCTTCCCCTCTTTCTCACGCGCGACTCCTCCCTAGCAGAAACCTGCGACCTTTCTTCCCTCCCATGGCCGAATCTCCTCCATACTTCTCCCCTCCCGATGCTCACCTGCTGCAGTCGCCTTCCTCTCTCCTTCCTTGCGTGAGAAGCAAGGGGATGACCCCCTCCATGCTTCCTTCTTATCCATGACAGCAAAATGAGTTTTGTTTTTTATTTTATTTTTGTGATCTTGTAGCTGCCTTGAATCTTTCTCCCCATCTCTTCTCATCATAACCTAGAAAACTAGGTTCAGAGATAAGATTTTTCTATGCCTAGGGCATGATTCGGTTTTGGGCAGATTTTTCCTTCCTTTTTCCTCTTGGTTTTGGCTATAAAAGAAGCCCTAAAATCCACCTCTAAGGGGGCTGGCCAAAAAATTTTAAGAAGGGGAGGTGCTGCCGGATTTGCATTCGAATCGACTCGTTCGCCTTGAATCATTGTCGGTTTGCCTCTTGTTTTTTATGGAAAATTTTTCTCTTGTTCATACTTAGAAAATGCTAGAATGTGTGATAGTTTCATATGAGGCTTAAGAATATCTCTATCTTGCTTTGAAAATTGCATATGGAAGTTGCATATGATGCTTAAGAATATCTCTACTTTGCTTTGAAAATTTCATGTGATAGTTTCATGCGGTGCTTAAGAGTCTCTATACTTTTCTTTGAAAATTTCATATGGTGGTTTCATGTGGCACTTGGATATGCAAAGAATGGAGATTTCATGCGAGGTGTTGGATTTTCTCTTCTCCTCCTTTCCTTGCTTGGCCGAAAATGCACATACATGTGCTTGAGATTTTGAATGCTTTATGTGAGGCTTTTTGAAGTTTTCTCATGTGCAAGTTATATGCCTTATACTTGAATTTTTGGAGCCCTTCTTATATGCAAACTAATGCTTTATGTGTGACTTTGTTTGGAAGCCTTTCTCATATGCAATTTTCGAATTTGGGAATGACCCTACTTGAAACACTCATGGAAAATGTTATATATTTTTATTTCTTGCGTATTTATATGACCATTCATATGCATAACACCTAAGCTTTATTTTTGCACACTCTCCACCTCCTCTCATGCACAAAGAAGATGTCTATCAATTTATACTAGCCAAAACAAACATTTTGCACTTGTGAAGTTACATCATGTTTATACTTGCTTAAGTATGAAATTTGCGCTTGTACACTTGTGGAAGTCGGCCCACATTGCTCATATTCTTGTCTTACAAAATTTCTTCACTCTTCTTTTTTATCTATGTTACATATATACTTGGGATTGATGGAAACATTGGATGTTGCCATTCATATGCTCGTGTACTTCCTTATTTGTGCAAATTGCAAGTGTGAAAATTTCATTTTTATGCCGTTATGCTGCCTGATTTTTCTTGATCGGGTTCGACCCTTTTTTTACTTATCTGGGCATGTTGCTTTTTCGTTTTTTTTTATTTTTTTGACTTTGACTTTCTCATATATATCTCGACTTCTCATTATTATTTTAACTTCACCGCTCCACCACTTCACTCCACCATCTCACTACACTATTTCGCTACATCACCCCACTTCCTACATTACACCACTTCACCTACTCCGCATCTTACACCATATCAGATACTACATCACTTCACATCCCTGCACCACGCTGGGAGAGGTTTTACTGTTTTGACACGTATTCTGATTTTCTTTGATATTGAGAAACAACCCACCTCCTTTTCGGAATTGTGTTAGGTGGATTGTCTTCTCCTCTCTCTCCTCCTTGTTCCCTCGTCCCTTGTTTCTCCTTGCTTCTTGGGCTAAATCCCAAACTCGTGTATGACGCACGAGTACGCACGTATAGCACTCTTATTATATATGGGGCCATCAAGCAAGATTGTAAGTGGAGTGTGTGAGGTTAAAGACGGTGATAAGATTGCATTATAGAGAATCGGGTTCCTTAGAATAGTATCCCAACTCAGAGACCCTTGAGAGGGTAGAGTAGAGAATTTTTACAGATACTATTCGCCCAGCCTTAGGATTTCTACCGCCGACGGTCTAAAGTTGCTAGGACTAGGGTATTCAACTTGTGGATCGAATTATTTAAAAAAAATTTAAAAATAAAAAAAAATATATAAATACATTTGAAAAATACAAAATCACCTCAACTACAAAACAACCAACTTACCTACGGCTTTTACTTGCATGCAGATCCAGACTGAAATGCATGAAAAATTTTACAAAGGTCCACGGTTAGCTACTCGAGTCGGATTAGGGCTGCCTTCTGCAGAAAGTCGGTCTAGTAGTCAGTAATTAAGGTTGTGGGCTACAACACAGCTCTGAGTCCTCCTCACCACCAAGCTTACGGTCATCTTGGACTTGTAGTCCATTCTGGTATTTTCTTCGTTTTTGTTCTTTCTTTCGGATTTTCTACAAGTTTAGCTCTATGGATTTATTAGGATTTTCTACGAACTTTGTTTTGTTTCAGATTTATTATTGAATGTTCTTTTTCGAATTTTTCCAACTTTTTGATTTTTTTATTTCATTTCTCCTACACACATTACACACATACACATGCCCAGTGTAGTTTGCTTATTCTATCTTTCAGTGTATATTCTTCTGCCGGATGTAAAGTTTTCACATTACCACTGCATGATTTCATTGCACATTAACATACTTTGCTTTTACACTCTCCCC